TATATATATATATATATATATATATATATATATATATATATACACGCGCACACAATACTTTACTTACTTACAATTTATTTATATACAATATATATAATTTTAAAATTAACTCCAAAACATCCCCAAATAAGAAGTAGAAGTTTTATAGTAGTAGATAGAATTTTGCCAATTTATTAATGGTATATATTTCATATTTCATATAATATATTTTTGAAACAACATTAACTCAACACATTTTTTGTATTCAATTAAATAAACTAATGCTGATATTATTTCCAATGCTTTTTTAATATGGTTTAAGTCCCTTCGAATTAGAATATGGTTCTTTAAGTTAGTTTTCTTAGTAAGCATTGGAAACAAAGCAAAAATAAAAATTATTTTACGCGAATTTTAAAATATTATTATTTTGAATTTTCTTCTTTTTATGCTCCTTGCGAGCAAATCGAATCAATGAATTAATAAAACAAAAAAATATGCAATAAAATGTTTTTCTAAAATATTCCATTGAAATAGATTTACTTCAATGATTTTCAAATTTCTTTTAGAGAATGATGAATAATGATAATACGTAGAAACGTATTTGAATACGTAGATACGTATTTGAAGTTAAAACATTTTATTCTGAAAAACAAAAATATATTTCCTAAATATTTGGTATTTATTAATTTTTATGTCGCAATATGAGAACATTTTTATGACACATTAATTTGTTTTAAGAATATATTCTATTCACTGTTAAGTCTAAAAAACTAATTGCTTAAGTTTTATTTAACTAATATTACATTTGCTTGTATTATAATAACTTACTTGACTTTGAATGCATTTTAATTATAAATATACTTTAATAGTTAATAGATAAATTAATGGTTAAATCAATAGACACAAACATTAAAAAATTTGCTGTATAAATAGTCGAATATAATTTAAATTGTAATAGAATGTTGCTCGATTTTTACATATCAGAGTTTTATATTCAAAATTAAAAAAACTTAAAAATTATAATTACATAACATTCAAAATAATACGAATTTATGAGAAAAGTAGTTTAAAAAATGCAATACTTTTGCTATAATAAAACAATTAGTTATGGTGAAATATACAGTTATAATAAATTAATTAGTTACATTAGAAATTGCCATGTTTATATATCTCTGTGTTTAAATAAAATAGCAATTAGTATTTATAGGATTAAGTTATTTACCACTAAATATTTGAAAAATATAATAATTAAATTAATATTCAAAATTATTTAATCATGTTATAGACTTATTTTAGTTTGTTTTCCACATCAGTAAATTGCATTCATAAATGGATTCAAAAATTCTATTACAAAACAGTCACGTAAGTAATATATGATTTCTATACGTCAGAAACATATTTTGAGATATCGATTCTTTACAAAACTAAAAAAAAGTTTTGTTATACTTATAATCATAACATTAAATTAAAAGAATTAAATTGAAATAAACTAGGATACCTGTTGTTAAACAACTAATTTATCGTAAAACTTAAACAACATTGTCCATTTTCCGGCAGTAATACTATGAAAAAAGGCTTCGATTTTTCTCTCAAGTAACTCTTGATTTTAATATTCGCTATGTATAAATTTTTCAATTTTATTTTCCATTGCTTCGCGGAGTAACATTTTAGGGTGCCATTCTCTGGAATTAATACTATGAAAAAAGGCGACAATTTTCTTTCTAAATAACTCTTGATTTTAATATTCGCTATGTTGTGTATAAATTTTTCAATTTTATTTTCCATTGCTTCTCGGAGTAACATTTTAGGGTGCCATTCTCTGGAATTAATACTATGAAAAAAGGCGACAATTTTCTTTCTAAATAACTCTTGATTTTAATATTCGCTATGTTGTGTATAAATTTTTCAATTTTATTTTCCATTGCTTCTCGGAGTAACATTTTAGGGTGCCATTCTCTGGAATTAATACTATGAAAAAAGGCGACAATTTTCTTTCTAAATAACTCTTGATTTTAATATTCGCTATGTTGTGTATAAATTTTTCAATTTTATTTTCCATTGCTTCTCGGAGTAACATTTTAGGGTGCCATTCTCTGGAATTAATACTATGAAAAAAGGCGACAATTTTCTTTCTAAATAACTCTTGATTTTAATATTCGCTATGTTGTGTATAAATTTTTCAATTTTATTTTCCATTGCTTCTCGGAGTAACATTTTAGGGTGCCATTCTCTGGAATTAATACTATGAAAAAAGGCGACAATTTTCTTTCTAAATAACTCTTGATTTTAATATTCGCTATGTTGTGTATAAATTTTTCAATTTTATTTTCCATTGCTTCTCGGAGTAACATTTTAGGGTGCCATTCTCTGGAATTAATACTATGAAAAAAGGCGACAATTTTCTTTCTAAATAACTCTTGATTTTAATATTCGCTATGTTGTGTATAAATTTTTCAATTTTATTTTCCATTGCTTCTCGGAGTAACATTTTAGGGTGCCATTCTCTGGAATTAATACTATGAAAAAAGGCGACAATTTTCTTTCTAAATAACTCTTGATTTTAATATTCGCTATGTTGTGTATAAATTTTTCAATTTTATTTTCCATTGCTTCTCGGAGTAACATTTTAGGGTGCCATTCTCTGGAATTAATACTATGAAAAAAGGCGACAATTTTCTTTCTAAATAACTCTTGATTTTAATCTTCGCTATGTTGTGTATAAATTTTTCAATTTTATTTTCAATTGCTTCTCGGAGTAATATTTTAGAATGCTAAAAATTCTACACGAAAAAATACCGTACTCTATAGTTAAGGCATTACTGGGTAAAAAAAAACAGCAACAACATCATACTGGTAAATAAACCAAAATAATCTATTCCTTTGGTAATTTTTCCTCTCGTATGGAAACGGTTTACTGAAAATTTTGTTTTTTAAACTTATAGCTCTTATTACCACACATTTTGAAAAAAATACAAAACTGAAAAGTAAATTTTACCAAATAAATAATTTTTATGCCATGCTCTGAGAAATCATGATAAACTACACCAAATTTTACTACACTTACTACCAAACGGCATTATAATAAAACCATTTTTTATTGTTAATTTTATCAAAAGCCAATATCTAGGCACTTTGATAAAAATGCATGTGCTTTTTGGTGTTCCCAAAGAGCCAGAAGCACGTAAATTCTACCATGTACTGGTTGTTTTGATCACTTTTTTAAGACCTGCCATAAATAAGAAAATTATTTCGAAAGACTTTGCCTCTATTAAAATTGATTATTTTTAGTTTGACTAGAAAATAAAAATAATTTTTATACGAAAAAAGTAAATTTATGAAAAAAATATTGTAACAAAGAGGTATAAAACTATAAATTTAAATAGTTCAAAAAGTTAAGAACAACACAAAATGTTATAAAAAATAGTTGTGTCATTTGCTTTCTTTTTTAGGATAAGTAGTTAGCTTCGCAAAGCAACTTATTATATATTTTTTTAAAGAAACTAATTTAAAAGCTTTCTAAATCTCAAAAACCATATTAAAAAATCTTGTTTAAAATGTTTTTTTCGGTCACTTATCAAGACAAAAAAGAAATTATTTTCAAAAAATTAAATTAACGAAAACAAAATAATAATAATAAAATATATCAAACTATTAATTTCAAAT